GTTCTCAAACATTGTTGAGACGTGATTTATTTGCTCTTGGAAGGTAGCAATTAGTTTTTCGTTTTGCACATTTGTATTTGTTTCTTGGTTAGTTGTAGTCGGCATCTCATTGTTTTTTGGTTTTTTGGCCATTTGGGCGTAGCTTACATTTTGGTTTGTAGGAATACTTTGTATATACCTATTTTTTGTCTGTTGCTGTTGTGCTGGCTTTCTTTTTGGGACTTTTTTACATCCTCTGTAATTTGCGGTATGATCTTCGCTGCAGTTTGCGCACTTAGGGGGAGTGCTTTTTTTTGCATTCTCCTGACTTGTGATTTGCTCCGCATTTCACGCATCTTGAGAAACAGTGACATGCTTTCGAGCCATGGAAGAAACCCTGACAATTGTAGCATTGCATGATGTCTTTCTTATTTTTGAATTCATCTCACTTTCATGTAACATAGATTGTTGACGTTCTTTATTTTTTTGTCGTGTACTTCCTTAATAGTGATAAGGAATAGTGGCAGTGGTTTTTTTTTATCTTTTTTTGAGATCATGTTAGACACTTTTAAACGTCTATGTCCTGATCTTCTAGTTCTTGCTGGATAGTTTTGACGTCTGTTTTATCTCCTAAACCTCTGAGTACTACCCTTTTGGGTTTTTCTGGTCTATAGGATATGCTATATCTTCATATATGCATTTCGTTGTCTTTTCCCTTTAATTCTTCATCGAATTCTTCAAGGATATTGACCATCTTTAGGTAGTTAGCTCTGTCTTTTGTTTGCATTATTATGCTTCTTCCTGATTTAGCAAACTTATTTGAGGAACCGATACCTCTGTTTGCTGCTATCTTCAGAATTTGTTGGCTATAATCTACAGACTTAAGGATTATCGCTGAAGGTTTAGGCAGCGGTTTTTTTTGTGATTTCAGTCTCTTGTACTGTTTCAGTATCAGGCTTTTCATCCTTTTTGGGCTTTGTTTGTGTTTTTGGTTCTGTCCCAGTGTGTTATTTTCATTTCCTTTATTTTTTCTATTTGTTTGCTGTTGCTGTTTTTGATTTCGTTTTTTCGGTTTCTTCTGCCTTTTCGGCAGGGTTTTCAGCTTTTTTTGCTTTCTTTGTCTTCTTACTCTGTTGTATTTTCCAGTCAGAGTTATTTTCTTCTGTGTCATTTCCGTCACTTTTTCATAGTTCCTTCCCTGGCTTTCAGGCTCCTCTTTGTGGCTTGATGCTTATTTTTGATGTGCTTGTTTGCTTTCGTATTTTGAATTCATGGTACTGGATATTTTAAAATTTGTGCCGTGAGTTCGCTGTTTTGTTTGTCTTTGAATTCAATAGTTTTTTGGAGCTGGTTTATTTGGCCACTTAATCCTATTATTTGGTCTCCGTATGATGTGTAGAGGAATTGTATTTCCTTCCGTAGTTGTGCGATTCCTTGTGTTAGTGTTTGAATGGAGTGTGCCATTGCTTTGTCGTCCATTTCTTTGGATTTTTTCGTTATCTCCTCCTCGGAGAAGTTAGTTATTTTCTAATACCTGAGGGGCATTTGTCGGTTTTTCGGTGTACAATACCGTTATCGGTTCGTTTGCATTTTTATTACCTTGTTTACTAAGCCTTGCTACAAAACTTTCCGTGACGTGAGGATATTGTTCTTTCACTTCTGTCTCCGATCCAGAAGTGGACGCGAGGTGATAGCGGGCGGAGTCAAGAGCCGTATCATCTAAAGATACTAACTCAGCATCCGTTGATGGTACGGGGGATGGCGGGGGAAGGTTTTCAGCTGTGTGAGCGGGAACGCTCTGTGATTGCATATTGCAATCGAAAAACATAATTGATAAACTATTTAGACGAATCTTTTTTTTGTTTTTCCAATCGAACGCTGTCGATTGGGTTCTGGGTGCCGTCCCAGGCCCTTCACGGTTGTTTACTGCCCTATTCAGACAGGGTTCCTTTTGCCGTTCTCTATACACAGGTACAGGGGCCGTGTCTGCAAACGTTAAATTAAAAAATTCAACGTTCACAGTGTCATCCCTGAACGGACGCTGTGTTTTAGCCGTATTTTTTCCTTAAACAGATCCTCAGAGGTCTAACCTCCTAGAGGAGTCGGTGAAAATAACTCCCCTCGGTTTAATTATATTCTGATTCACTGTCCTCCAGTGCGTTTTGATGGTACACGGAACGATTTTCGCTTGCACTACGATCGTTTGTACTTCTCTGTACGCTAGCCGTCGCGAGACTCACTAGCCTGCCACTACTCAGTCAACTGACTTTCAATTCTCTTTGGGTGACAAATGTAAACGAATAAAAAACCAAGAAGTATTGTGCGAGTATATTTCTATAAATATAAGAATGTAATAACCTAAAAAATTATCAAAAAAGTATTACGAATCATTACAAGAGAGCATTAGGAAGATAAAAAGAATTTATATTATTGTCATTACACCATGATTGGGATATACATAGTAAATCCAGATAGTTTTTATTTTGTTTATAATATATTCAGAGTTAATACATACGATTTTTAGTTGATTGGTATTGCCTTTAAAATTATTTGTAGTATCTATAATATATAACTATCGCCATGTCGCTGACCTGAACTCTCGGGAATGAGAAAAGGTGGTTCAGTCGCTCTATCCATAGCTTGATTGGACCGGAGAGGATAGGGATCACGGTCAGTGGCCATATAGGTTGTATATGGCCACGTAGCTAAATGGAAATACCTTTTTAATAATGCACAGATAAATATTTATTGAACCTTAGAACAATAAATATAGTGTTACAACTAAGAATCTGTGAAGTAAATATCGATTATCTTAAGATTAAGAATCTGTAAGAAAGGTGTTAATTAGTCTTAGAACTAAGAATCTGTAAGAGAAAGGTCGTTAGTTATCACACCTAAGACTAATTAATGCAAAAAGTAAAATTTGAAAAAAAAGTGAAAAATTTTACAAGTCGCAAAAGTCAAGAATCAAGTGTAATTTGCAAGTGTCAGAATTCGTCCAAAATGCGATAGGGACGTCTGTCGTAGTGACTTTGGGACAAATCAATCAAGATATGTAATATATAAAATAGTTATTAACAATTTACTGTTTTTATTTATCAAAACTTTTACCCAGATCAATTGATGTCGATAATACAGGGTGACAATTGGCAATAGGACGATTTTGAACTAAATGAATACACAAGAAATTTGCAAGAAAATACTATTTTATTAACATCAAAATGAAGCTTATATTATGCCATTTACAATCTAATTAATTATGGAAAATAATGTCATCAAGATGGTGACCATCACGTTGGATGCAGTTTTCGATCCTCTTTATGAAATCTTCCATAACACGCTCTAACATCGCTCGATCAATAGTCCGGATTTCCTGGCGGATTGCGTTCTTCAACTCGATCAAATTACGAGGTTTGCTAGCATATACACGACTCTTCAAATACCCCCATAGAAAAAAATCACAAATTGACAGGTCTGGAGACCTTGGAGGCCACGGTAAATCTCCAAAACGTGAAATGAGTTGTCCTGGGAACAGGTTGCGGAGAATATTCATTGAAGCATGGGCAGTATGTGCCGTGGCACCATCCTGCTGAAACCACACATTCCTTGGGTTTATCCCTTTTCTGCGTAGTTCTGGAACCAAAAAATTTTGGATCATGTCAACGTAGCGAATAGAATTAACGGTGACGGATTGGCCAGCCTCTTCGAAAAAATATGGCCCAATAATGCCAGTTGGACCAATGGCACACCACACTGTGACTTTTTGAGAATGTAAAGGACGCTCATGAATATTTCGTGGGTTTTCAGGAGCCCAGTACCTGTAGTTCTGTTTATTAACGGTTCCGTCCAAATGGAAATGAGCTTCGTCACTCATTAGAAGATGCTGACCTAAGTTATCCTCCAAAAGAACTTGCATTCTCGTAGCAAAATCCTCACGTTGTTCAACATCTCTTTCCATTAATTTCTGGTCAATCTGCATTTTGTAGGGGTGAAATTTTAGGTCCTTATGCAACATTTTTCTCAACGTTTCCCAATTAATGTTTAGCTCAATTGCATGTTTTCGGGCGGATCGTGTAGGGCTTCTGACGACGGCATCTCTCACTCGCTGTATGTTTACAGGAGTTGTTACTGTTCTATTCGGACCTTGTTGCTTTTTTTTTCATAACACTGCCTGTTGTTCTAAAATTCTTTATCCATCTTAAGATTGTGTTGCGAGATGGAACCGCTCCACGCCTACCAATATTAAAGTGAATGCGAAAAAGCCGTTGCGTAATGATCACGGATTCTTGATTTCGGATAAACGTATCGTATGTAAACGTGCGATGTTCTACCGTCCAGTGCTCCATGTTTACTGAAATGGCACACTACTACAGACGTAGTAACGCCGCGCTTGTCCCCCTCTCCTCCCCTCAAGCTTCGTACTATGCGTCCTAAAAACATCCGGGTCCCGATTGTCACCCTGTACATCTTTAATTTCCTCTTCACTACTTTCCTCCTGCTTTATATGAAGATCCATGTTGTAATTGTAAGCAGCTCTTTCTGTATAGGTAAATAGTAGTAGATTTGCGTAATTTGATTTACTGTCACTGATTTCCAAGCAGTTTTACAAGATCCACTAACCACTATCCACTAAATTTTAATCTATCAGGAAAATAAACTCAAATAAATAACAAATAAAGCAACAGTCCAACTTGGTCCAACAACTACCATCAACGTGAAGCTAAAATGGCCTCACTCATATGTAGTTATATATAGTTTGCCTAAGCCGGATTTGTAACAATTATTTCTGGTTTTGTTGTTAACTGTTAGTACAATTCTTGTACTTGAAGTCAAAACGGCGAACCATTGAACCTTCAGGCCAGATGCTGGGATTGAGAACTTAATTTTTATAATCCAATTGATATGAAACTTTAAAGCTTGCTTGCAAATGGAATGGGCCGATCCATTTGCCTAACGTAATCTTGTATGCAGCGTTGTAGTTGAAATCGGTCGAAACCATAACCCCACTCTCCCAGTTTTACCAATGAATGAACCAAAAGCTCTTCCTCTTGATGTGTAAGAACTGTTGGTCTACCAACATTCTTGCATTTTATTCCCTTCACATGATTTAATAACGTTGTTCTATTAATATCATGACGTTCTGCCGATCTTTTACAACTTTCGCCATTTTTCACTTCTTCAACTGCTTTCTTCATTTCTTCACTCATCATATTTCTTATAACTTCGGGCATCAGGGCGCCTGGGTTTCTTGGAACGGGGCATCTGAAACCACAAAGATCATTCTGTAGGTGACACTTTTGGTCCAGGGGTAAGATTGACACTGTCATTCTTAAACGAGCTGGCAACATTGACACTGTTAATGTTCACATCAAGGCTAACTTTGACACTGTAAATTTTAACCTATAAACAGAAAGTGCAGAAAACAGCTGTTTACAACAACAGTGTGTTGTAATATTAAAATCTATAAGTGGTAATTGATTAAATACCATCCACTTACCTTGTTCAGCTAAATTACGTTTTTGAAATGGCCGTTTGTTGAAAGTTCCTTTAGCACAAAATTCACGTACCACCATCCGTTGACTCATGGGCAGACATTTTGAAAAGCCAAGAGTGTTGCCGGAGTCTCGACACTTCGCTGTTAGATGGCTATAGAGTAGGAGTATTTATAGATACCTTTACATTGGCATTATCTTTATTAGCAGACGAACAGAAAACTAAATTCAAAGAAATGTCAATGTTGTACCAGTGTCAATGTTGGTCCGCGTTACCTTATCCTAATAATTTTTAAACAAAAAATGTAAAGTAAATCCAACTTTATACATTCAAAAGGTTTTGATACCTAAATATTTAGTGGCTACCTCATGTATACCTGGTGCTCTCTAAACACTGATGATAACTAGCAGTCTGAATAGGTTTTGTTTTTTTCTGTAGCCCTTTTAAATAAAGCTTTTAAAATATTTTCAATTTAATCTAATTCTAAATCTACAATTATATGTTTGCAGTCTATTGTAATGTCTTTAAAATACGTTGAAGCTCTAACAGCTGCCAAGCATTGGCAATTGCATATATCAAAAATATCCTCTTAAGAAGAAATTGGTGAAAAAAAGTAAACAAGTTGTATTTAACTTAAAAGTAAAATTCTATATCAATGTAAAAAACAAGTTTTAAGCAAAAAAAAAGTATTGAACAACATGTAAGTTCATTTTTAACTTAAAATATTTTCAATGTCATCTAGCTCTAAGTCGACACACTGGTCTGTTTCAACACTTTTTAATTTATTTAAAATACTTTGGGGTATATCAAAATTGAAGCAACATTTATCTTCCCTTGATAATCCCCCTCTAATGGATAAAATGCTGCTAAGCATTGGCAATTGCATCCAATTGCGTATTTTGGACTTTATAAGATTCAACTGACTGAAAAGTCTTTCTACCTCAGCATTTGAATGTGGTAAAATTGACAGGGATAGAGCAAATTCAGACAACTCTTGATAGGGGTTGTTCCCACATGAATTTTGATACTCACTGACTTCTGTCCAAAAATGTATAGTATGTGAGGTACTTTTCCATGTGACTAACGTTATATTTCTCCATTGATTTTCAATGCTATCTATTAATTCACCAGGATAATCAAAATTTTTTAAGAGCTCAATTAAATCTGGTTTGATTATTTTAAGTATTTTCAACCGAAAATAGCGATATTTGTTTTAAAATATTTACATTGTCTGGTAATCTTTGAATAATTTCTTTGATTAGAGAAATTAAAGAATTTATATACCTATCTCTCAATTGCCTCTCTTGTGTAAAACCGGATTTTATTATTGCAGTTAATTTGGTTTCAAATATATAACCTAAATAAAAATTTCTGTCTACAAAAGATTCTATGTTATCTTGAAATAATTTAAATTGCGAATTTGGAGTTGTATTTTTTTATTAGACTCTCCAATAACATGATTAAATCATCTAATAATTTTGAAGAGTCAATGTTATTAGACTGAAAAGCTTTATTGAGTCTTTGCATTTCGGTTAATATGGGTTTTAAAAATAATATATGTATAATTTATATCATCATTGAACATATACAAGATATGTGCAGTGTAACACTTTTCTGCGTCCTTCGCTATGCTAAAATGTGTTTTTAATTTCAACCACTGTTTAAGTATATTAGACACAGCAGATCTATTGACAACCAACGAGTATCAGAAACAGATGTTATTTTGAACGAATTTTCTCCTTCAATAATTATGTTGTATAATTGTTTGTAAGCTTTTGTCTTGCACTTGAATGAGAAAACCAGTTAAAAGTTTCTCGAATTAAAAATTCTAAAGCTCGTGGTAGATGTTCTTTAGCTGCTGAGGAAACTTCTAACTGTAAAGAATGACAAACACATTTTATCAACACTAAATTTGACAATTCTCGTTTTAATTTTGCATAAACTCCATTGTTGACCACAACCATTACTGATGCATTGTCGGTCCCTATCCCTTTTCCAAATTCAATTTATCTTTTTTTAAACTATATTTTAATCCCGCTTTAATTCCATCTGCATCAGTAGAGTCTAATTCTATTAAATCTAAGAAAGAATGAATAATTGTTTTTCGTTTTAAACTATAATATAAAATTGTGCACCCTAAATATTTATTTGTTGAAATGTCATTAGATTCATTTATTAAAAGACTGTATAAATGATTTCCTATGTCTTCACACAATTCTTCCAAAAAATATGGTGCTAAAATGTTTTTATGACATTACCACATTTTGTTCTGTGCATTTTAATATACTCTGCAGCATTACATTTGAAAGTATTTTTGCACAAATTTGTAAGATGATCCACAACATTAATTTAGCTATGTTGAGCAATAAAAAGGGCTAACTTGGTTTCTGCCACTTTAGCATCATCCAATTTGGTGTCGCGGACAAATGAAATTTTCCCAAAAAATTTGTACTATTTCCATTATGTTTTTTAGATTCACCATTGCTTTTTAGGTCAGCATACCTACTTGTGATAATTTTGCAACAAAACTTGCATTTCGCTTACGTTCCATTTGTGCTTTGTACCACAGTTAACCAATCCTTGAATAGAGGATTGGTAAGCCACAATGGTCTAAACTGTTGCATATATATCTTCGACATATTTCTATAACAAATATAAAATCACATACAGACATAATTTTTTATAAGGCATACAAAAATGAATATCGAAGCTTATCTAAAAATACGGCCCAATACGATATTTGGCGGTTTTTATTTTGACTGCCATTGGATAGTTACTTTTCCCGCGTAAAACTGTATTACAATTTTTGCCTTATTCCATATGCGTCATAACATCTTTAAATAAAAATTACTTATATACTCTCAAAAATAATAAAATTATGCAGTTTTTCCCTCTGCTGTAAAATTAGTCAAAATCACTTGAGTGGTGTTGTTAGATGAGCCATGATATGGAAAATATAAAAAGAGTAATTTTACTTACCAGAATGCAATTACAACGTTAACTACAATTTACAATGGTAATAAAAAATATACTTTATTTTATTAATATAACAATGATATAACTGTAACTATAAACGATATATATATAACAGTAAAATTCACACAGAATACAACCAACAACAATCACAGCTGATTGCTAAAAGAATTTATTTTAGCCAGTATTTAGTATTTATGCCACAACATCATAAACGACAAAAGACAAAATCATCTTGGAGGAAATCTTTATAAGAATCTTCATTTCTTTTGCTTTTTATCACTAGATGGACACAGAAGTATACTAATATAACCATATTTTAATTTAAAATATCGTCGTCCTAATCTGTAAACTGCGTAACTCCATTTGTCCAAATTTTCCAGGAGACACAAAAAACTATCTCCAGCGACGTAAATATATTATTGTTGTCCAATTTTTTTTTGTACTGGTTTTAGATTGTTTCTTTTTTATAACTGTTTAGTCAAATTATAGTATTTTTTGTTTATTTTTAATTTTTTTGGAGATACGCAGTTTTCTTAGTAATAAACTTGGAGATACGAATTTTTCATGTAAATTAAAAGTACATACAGAACATCAGAAAGTTTACTGCATAACGCAAAATTGTAAATAATAATAGTTTCATTAGTAAAGGTTAAATTCAAAACCAACAAGCTGGTTTTTTGGTTCTACTTGACACCATCATATGGAAGAGAAATGAAAACAATGTCCGACAAATTAGGTTTATTTGAGAAATAAAAAAGATCAAAATAAACATTATAAACTAAAATAAACAAAACATTTTTCGAAGTGTTTATTTGTGCGGTAACTCATCATAAAATGAGTGATAGTCAGGCAGCAAACTTGTTTTTAAAGCTTGAAGATGATTGTATTTTTCCAAAGAAATTTTTATTCTTTCGCTGTAGAGGGATGGGAAATTGTCAAATGGTATTACTTCAAACTTGGTATTCCTTCTGACATGCAACATTTTCCAATCTTAATCTGAATGTCTCAACTTGTAAAAAATTCCATCTCTTGTGTATTTGAGTTGTTTCAGGTCCGTTACATGGAGGTCACCAACTGTTTTTCCAGGTCTGATTGAACTATGGTATTTTAAAGAGTCCATTTTTTTTTAAAATGTATGGTTCAAATATTTCACGGAATAAGGGTCTTTGCAGGCAGTTTCACAAACAGAAATATAATCTGCTGGTACATTAATGTTCCTCTTCTATAATTTTCTCTCAATTGTTGAATGAACAGAATCAACTTCCATTTGAGTATGTCCCTTTAAAAGAAATTTTTGAATAATTTCTATATTTTTTTCACTGGCAAGATTTAACAAGCTGTTTGCCAGAATGCAGTTTCTATTTTGGTAATTGCAACCATCGCTATACAATATTATGGTGTTAGATGGTACAGACGTTTTTTAATAAGTTAGAAATGAAATAGACAATTATTGTTGAAAACTCATTGGCAGTCAAGTTCCCTTCACATTAATTCCACAAAAAGCAAAACCCTTTGTTATCTTTATTATTATAAAGTGTAAAATTCATGTACTGCCAACTTCATTTTGTAATACATGGACGAAACATTCGATTTAGGTGACAATAATACAGACTGCAAGTCCATAGAAAACACTGTTTGTTTGGATTTAGTATCTTTGTCTAATTCATCTCTAGCTTCTCTTTTCAAGGTCATATGCAAATCAAATTGATCTTGTTCAATGTTTTTACTTTCGTATCCAATGCAGACATCGCAGCGATCTTTTTTAGGAGAATATAATGATAAATTTTGCTCATCAAACATTTTCGAGAACGTTGCATACGATAGAGCAGATGCATTGTTCTCTTTGCAACTATGATTT